AAGTATGAAAATACGCATGCTTGTATGTCCGTGTGTCTATCTGAAACTCTGCCAACCTGACTTTATATATCTCTGTCTGTTTGTATGTATGTCTATGTGCCTATTCCTATATCCATATCTCCTTCAACGACCTGCCAAATGCCTGGTTTGCTTGCATACCTGCCTGTCTATCTGTATGTATACCTGTTTGGAGGCCGATGTGTTCCACTAACCTGCCTGCTTGAACGCTTGTTTGTCCGTATGTATGCTTGTCTACATTTTGTTTGTTGATGTATATGTCCGTTTGCTTGCATGTATTTATATACGCACTCATAAATGTATATACATGCATGATTGCTTTCCTGTATGTCCACCTGTACATCATTATTATTATCTTTATATCTGTAAGTTTATACCGTTATCCATGAAATGTATTCAATCTACTCTGTTAAAGGAGATGGTATTTGAATTTCACATAGCCTTGTTTCCTAAAGGGTATACTCATTTAAACTGGAGTGTACTACAGTTTCGAACTCGTCTGGGTCTCATCAGCACTCCCAACGGGACTCGAACCCGGGTTGTGGTAGTGCAGCGTATAATCTCGGTACGTTGACTACTAAGCCACTCTGCCATGAGTGCCCTTGGGTGAAAGGATAAATGTCAATTTAAAGAAAAACCAGGCATTTTACCATAGCACATTCTGTGGTTTGATCGTCGATGAAGCAGTCGTATTTGCTATAGCAATCAATTGTATTACTTATTTTTTCGTTTATAAGTAGGCTTTCGATACTACCAGTAGATCATGTATATGAGGCGTATACACTCTATTTCATTAAGTTGATAAAGGACTGGTAGTTGAAATTTTCCACAATGAAATGAATAGGTATTACTTTTCCATTAAATTGCACACAGCCTTGCTTCCCAAAAGCTGAGGATGCTGACAGGACCTGGGCTAGGTCGAAAGTGCGTTCCACTGCGGTCTGGATGAGAACACCCTTTGGGAAGCAAGGCTATGAGAAATTTAATGGAATCATGAGGTCTGTTGATATACTTGTGAGAAAATTCACATACCAATCTATCAACACCTTAACGAAAGATGGTGAATATTAATTATATGTACGATCTACTGGTAGTCTTGAAAAGTCACTTATAAACGAAAAATACATTAAATTGTCTGCCTGTTTATATAA